CTGACAATACACTTTACCAATACTACATAGCTCACATATTCCTTTAAGTATTTAGTAAATTTAATATAGGAAACTATTCTACCAAAGAAAGGAATACACCAGAGAATTATCTTAAACTTTTTGTGAATTCTCCAGTCTGATTGATAATATGGTCACATGAAGACTATAATTAAAGTGAGAATAAAGCTGAATAAATCATCATATTTCTGAAATATTACTACAATAATTTGTTGGCTCTGTTTATGACTTTTGCAGTATTGTACAAACTTTAAATAGCAACTTGACATACGACAGGAATCAGTAAGCAAAAAATAATCGTTTTGCATAATACAGAACATTGCTCGCTATAAGATTAAGTGATATTGCTCATAAAGTATTTATCCCCTTTATAACCTTTCAGCCACTGCCATATTTTTATTTCAATTTCACTCAGCTTTAACCTTTTCATGTGGGCTGCATAAGACATTGCGGTCTGCTGAGGGGCTTTTTCTGCCACTGGGGTGGGAAGTATGAAAGGGAACCACTGATTGCAAAAACCAAGTAAGTGATGAGCGTGAAGAAATTTTATCCTCCCCCTGTTTATCTAAACTTTTTTTACAAACTCTAAGACCAACATAGTAAAGGTTAATAGGATGGACACTAAGAGTATGTTTCCCATGCTTTTGCATAACTCATTAAGCGAAAGGAATTTGTTCTGGTTGCTAAATTAGATCTGTCAAAGTGTCCTGCTCTTTCGAGCTACCCAATTTTTAAGTCTACATTTGATTTAGCACTTAAAAAAAGTAAAATAAATAAATTAATAAAAAAAAACATTCCACATTTCGATTATTTATAAACATCCTGCCATTTCTGTTATAATAATTTATACACGCTTTTGCATTCATCTGCAAGACACTTTTTCTATTTTGCTATTTCAAGTTTATTAAAAGGAAATTCCAATTGAAAATAATTTTTTAAAGTTCATAAATACGTATATTTACACTAAATGCTAAAGTAAATAAGTGATAAAAAATTGTTTTTTTCCTTTCTGCTGTTATATTTACAACAATTTTAACAAAAACAAAATTTTAAAAAAAATATTTAAATTCTTATAATTATTGCTATCTTTGATACTATTTGATATATTCCAATAAAAATATTTATAATTTTAGTAAATTTCTTAAGCAATTCACATTTAATTTCTATCAAAAGTCTTAACCACATGTTTATTTTAAACGGAAATTTTTTTTAAATGTAGCTTGTTGTTGTTTTATAATAATTAAAAATTATAACATAAGGGATCTAAGTTATCACTGATACAAGAAAAGAACAAATGTAATTCTTTGCTCATTAAGAAAATAACAACGATTTTCTTTTATTTTTTTTTTAGCGTACCTGTATTTCATGTTTTTAACCAAAATGAAAATAAAGCATAATATAAAAGTTAAATCCTTTGAGGAAAATAAATATATATAAATAATCATAAAATAAATAGTTAATAAAAATAAATAAAATTTTTTATCCCGTTAGAAAACTGGATTTTTTTATCTATTTCCTTCATTAAAAGAAAATGTAACCGAAATGTTATTGTAACCAAATTGTGAAGATTGTCAAAATATAAATTAGGAAATATATAACTCAATGTATATGATAATAGTTATGTACCATTTCTTTCATTCTTTACTATTCTTTAACAGCTTTTTAACAAAATAGTTCTTCAACTTTCGTTGTCTTTCAATATGATTTTTCAAATATGTAATGTATATTTACCTTATACATAATTAATGTCCTTCAGTTGCAAATGATTCATATGGTTGTGTTTTTAATAAATTTCATGAAAATAACAGACTTTATTGAAATTATATATATATATTAGATAAAAAAAATTATAATTTGTGAATTTTTTTAAATACCTTCATTCAAAATTTTAATATATTACATTCATTCACTTATCATTTTCACTAAGCAGTAGACTTATAACTTATTCATGTAACAGAGTTATGAAGTTTCAAAGTTCATAAATATTAGTTTCAATCTTATAAAGCAATAAACCAACGAGATATTATTTACAAGACTTTATAAAAGCTTTAACTCAGTCAAACTATTCCATAGCACGAAAAAAAAAAAACACTAAAATAGCCACAAAAAATTATGGTTACATAAAAAAGTAAAATAAATAACTATAAAATGACATTTATGACTTGAATTACAAAAGTTTAGAAAATACATCATTTATGCAAACATACGAATAGATATAAAATCAAGGCATTTTTCCTCGACAATATATTTATTTTTTTAGAACCGTGTATTTTTTTATAACAAGAACAGAAAACAAATCCTAAAAATAATATTTGTTTTCAGCATTTAAAATAGTTTAATTTTATATTTATTTCAATTTAAAATAATTTACTTGCTTTTTTACGAAGATTATTTGACATTATTTATCTATAATTAAAAATGCTATTCATTAAAATTAAACTATAACAAATAATTTGTATCTTTAAAATATACATATTTTTTACTTATTTTTGATTACCAGTAAATATTTGGTTGATAGAGCCCAAAGAAGGAACCTGGATACTAACCCTAAAAGAAAACCCTGGATACTTACATGGACTTCTTAACGCATGCAAGAGGCTAATGAACCTCAATCTATTCTGATAATGATCGATAGAAAAGAGATAAAATAAATATCACACTCAAAATTGCATGCGTCTTCTCTTACTTTTCAAAATATCAACATTGACAAAAATGTGTAGCAGATCCGGTTTGGTGACAGGTTGCAACATAAGGGGTTAATTGATCAGTGTTAATCAGTCAGTTAGGATTTATCAATTTAAAAATACTAAATTTTAACAAAATATTTACTTAACTTACATGTATTAACTTACATGTACAAGAAAATTTCAAAAAAAGATTAAAAAAATAATAATGCTAATAATACTAATGTTATATTAAAAATTAACACCACTTTTAAACAGGGTCTGTGGCCAAATCTTTCAACAAAAAATAAGCACCTTTTAAGCACTCAAAAAATATTTTTAAGCACTATATACATAAACAAAATGCAAAATAATTTTCTAAGACTCTACATGATCATGATAAAATAGCTAGTTTTTGACGAGAAACTCTTTTTTTTTTTTTTATTACATTAGTCATTAAAAAAATGTTTAGGAGATTTTTTGGTTCTATTTCAAAAGGTGGAAAATGAAGTGTGAAATTGAGAATAACTTGCAAAATGCAGCAGAGTTTCAGACGAGATTGCAATAATCTGCACGTATACTTCATTAAACCTGTAAAATGATTGGCGCTTTCATACGCTGTGGACCGATGGTACACTGAAATAGATATTTAAACTAAAAACTGAATTCTTAAAAAAAATTAACAGAAACTTTTTTTCATTTTTTTGAAATAAAAGTAACTAAAGATATATAGGATTAAAAAAATAAATAAATAAAGTTTCTTATATGTCTTGATTACACTCTTAAACAATTAGAAAAACCAACAAAATACACTTAAATATTTAAAAAACACTGCATTTAAATTATTAGTTATTTTAATTAAAAACAATCAAATTGAAAGGACTAAAGGCTGTTTAAAATTTCATTTGATAAAAAATTATTGGGGTATTACATACTTACTCTCCAGAAAAAATTGTTCTTTTTTTAAAAAAAAAAGGTGGTGAAAACTAACAAATATTTTATAATGATGTATAAATTATTTGAATGCAAAATACTGCTATTAAATTGTATAACTTATAATGAAATGAATATTTTAAAAAAATAATGAAGAGTTCTTTTCATAAATATATTGATATCAGAATGAAATAATGCACTGTGATCCCAAAGTAGCAGATGTACAACTGAAAATAATCTTCAATAAATAAAATATTTGGGAAAAAAAGGGGCATTATATTTTTCCTTTTGATGCTGATCCATGCACAATACCATGGAGTGATGACGTATGCATTAAATCGATATTTCGCAATATATCCTAACAAGATTTGAACTAAACAAGATTTATTCAATTTTAAGCAAATGTATTATTTATTTATTTCAATTACTTTATTGATTTATTTCAATTTTAAGCAAATGTATAATAATACACTGTGGCAGAATTTGTTCTAGCTATCGGCAACAAAATCCTCTATCATTATCTTTCTGCAAGATACTTTTGATAAAAACAAACATATATGTTACAAATTTAAAATAAAAAAAGTGATGTGTTTTAAAAAAAAAAAACTATTTAATTATTTTTAATAAAACATGTAATAATTCCTTATTCTAATATTATGGGTGATATTCTTGCATTTTGTGGAGGGGTGGCACACAAATTATTTCCTTCTTCGCATTTTGTAAATAATTACCACAATAAAAAATATAATTAAAAATCATGAAGTAGTAGCAATTGCCTGAAAAAAGATCGACGACAAAATCATGTGAGTTGGGCTCCTCAAATGCGGGTTTCATTTCGAAATGACGTTGTTGTAATAAATAATATTGCATAAAAAATATCAGATTTAAAAACAATGGAGAAATCAATAGCAATAACTGCCAAAAATTCAATAGAATTATTGCCTTTAAGAGCAAATACTCAAATGCACAATTCGAATTTTCCATATTGTCTGAAATATATCTGGATATTTAAAATTCATGGGAAAACCAATATCAGTAACTGCTGAAAATACAATCGATTTACAATACTATCGTCGTAAATTGAGTGTGACAAAAAGTAATTATCAAAACGCATGATTCAAATATTACGTGTAAATTTCGGTAGAAAAGATAAATTTTTTTTCCCCTTTCCAAAATAAAAAACTTTCCGCAAGAAATCTGTCACGTTCTGTGACAATGTTGCCGTGGTTCTGCCACAGGGATGTAATACGTTTTGTAATTACAGAGTTATCTGCAATCCAAAAACCCTGTAGAACAAATTGGAGTACTTTTTTTCTAGAGAATTAAAATTTGCAATTAAGATAGTGTAATTTTTGTTTAAGATAGTGTAGGTATTCTCCAACTTACCACCTGGGAATGAGACAAGGAGACTGAGTTTGCATTTACGAAGACATCTGTTGAAAACGCTTCACCCTGCAATATTAAAATTTTCTGATTAGTATTTCTAGAAATATATGACCATTTTAATTCTTTTAGGTCACCCTACATATTTATAATGCTAAACATAAGTACATCTTGTGCATTATTAGTTTTTTTTCTTCATATATGCACTACAGCTCCCTATAAGCAAAGGCTGTTTCAGAAAGCTTCCCCCAGTGAATCTTATCAAACGCTATAGTTTGCCAAAGATTGATCTTTAATGTAGACTAAAAATTCAATTTCAAATATTAAAGTTTTATAGAAAACTTTTAGAAGTAGATTGGAATTTGTTATTAGACAAATGTGAACGTATATTTCTTCAAAAGTATTGTAATAGTAACACTTGCATCTGATTCTGAATATTACAATAAGATATCTATAAAGAAAAATAAATAAAAAAAATTTCCATATAAAAACTTACTAAAATTCCTGATGTATTTTGAAGAACATTATCATTGAATCTGAAAAAGAAATAAAAATATTTTATCAAACATTTATTAAAACATAGATATCAACTTACCATATATCTCTGTGGGTAAACCCCAAAAATTTGATAAAAATAAGGAGGTTGACTTATACACCAGTATCAAAGGTGGTTGCTGATCATGAAATATTGATGCATTATAAGATAGATATGAATAAATGTGTATCAATTTTTTATCAAAAACTTTTTCTAATACCCGCATTAAAGACTTCAAATTATTAGCCAGTAAATTAGCCAAAGGCAAATCTTATTTCTTATGATTGATTTTTTAATAAAGACTTCAAATCAAAATACAAATCTACTATAAATTGAATTATTTTATAAAATGAAACTCAAATCAAGAGTTTTTTTGCTGTTGCAGAGGAATGAAAGAACAATGAATGAAAGAAAGGATGAAAAATGTAGATATTTAATAACCTTTGAGGGAAAGAAATACGAAAAGGTTGGATTAATTTTAGACTAGAGCAGTAATATAAGGATAAAACTTGGCAACATCATGTTATTGTATATGCTATTGACACATTATTGTCCCGAGGAAACATATTTTCTGCAAAAATATATAAATGATAATATGTATCTTGCTACCACATAATCTGTTTTATTGACACAAACTGTAGGAAAAATCTGTCACATGATATCATGTACTTCGACAGCAAATAAGGTAATCTGTATTTTATGACAGTTTGTCTCACGCTTATATAATATAATTCTAATTAGTTATGCAACGTATCTAACGGAAATTACTGTAATTGAAAAAAAAAAAAATACAGGATTTATTCAGAAAAAATTCCCTTTGACCTTTTTTATTTCAGGATCGAAGAAAATATATAGTTTTCTTTTCTGTATGAGAAAATCATAACAAAGGTGGTGAATGCTTAGCGCAAACCCAGTACATAGAATGCATTTCCTCATTTTCTTTACATAAAGGATTTTTTCAAGTTTTTTTTTTTTTTGGAACAATAAATTAAATTATGTTCTGAAAAAAATTATGAATGGATAATTTATTCAAGAGTATTTCAAAAAATATATGGAAATCAAAAATGAAAAATTTTAAAACATATCATAAGACTACAGCTTTAACATGCTGACTCTCACAGAAAATTGTCATCACTCCCATTTAAATAATTCAAAATTCCACACTTTTCAAAAGATTTTTTAGGGTCAAATGCATCATATTCAAAACAAATAAGGGTATTTTTAACTTTAAAACATTTTAAGTTTTAGTCTTTTAGGAAAAATTTGCTATCTTGTAATCAAAAATAGGGGTCAACTTACGCATCAGCATATACAGAATATATAATAAAAATATAACAAATCCTAAATAAATTAGGTACAAGAGAAGTCATCATTTGATCTAAAAAAAAAGAGGCTTTGTAGTCAATAAATGGGATTAGAAATCCCTATTTCATTAATGCATTTCACTATTATTGTCAAACTGCTCAACAAAAAAGATTTGCTAACAAGACAAGAAGATTTGCAAGAAGAACAAACTGCTAGATTCATGACAGAATTGTAAAAAGGATTTTTTAAAAATAATAGCCCAACAGAGAGTTCCCATTAATAAAAAAAAAAATTTAACAACTCTAAATTTTACTAAAAAAATAAAATCTTAGTCACATTTCATTTAAACACATTTTTTCTCACTTAGAAAGAATAGTTCTTTTATTCATTGAGAAAATCTAAAAAAGAACTTAATTTTCGAAATTTTGTTTATTGACTTGATATTGCTTATTGATTTTCTTTAGCTATATAGTAATGAAATTATAATGAATTATTGAATGATTGCAATACATGCTGAAACTATTTATTGGTAACTTCCCAGGTCATTTTTATGACTTGTTGCAAGTTTGGGATTAAAAAAGAACTGCAATATACTCCACCTTTTACAGGATGCAGCAGGACATAATTTAAAAAAAAAAAAAAAATTTAAGAGGTCCATAATTATTTCTTATACAAAAAGAATATTATACAACAGTACAATACCTTTTTAAATTATATTTAGCAGCTACATTAATAAACTAAAAAATGAGAATTTATTTCATTTTAGCAATGGGGAAATACATATAAGTAAAACATTTTCTAAAATACAGGGATGAGAGTGGTCAGAAAGTAAAAAAGAGGAAATTCAAGAATGAATATATATATGAATATATATATATATTCATTCTTGGATTTCCTTTCTATATATATACAAAAATTTGACAAAAAAAAGTGAGATTTTAAAACTTCTAAACCATGTGATTATAAATCCTGATGATTAATTTTAAAATTGTATGAATATGAATCACATGCATGATTTTAAATTGAGAGGATATGAATCCCTATATGAGGCTTTTAATTCACGTGAATATGAAGCTCTATATAGAATTTAAAAAATGCGAAAATACAAATCATGATTTTTCGATCACGTAAATAGAGAATAACGATGCACAATATTTGAATCACATGCATGATTTTAAATTGAGAGGATATGAATCCCTATATGAGGCTTTTAATTCACGTGAATATGAAGCTCTATATAGAATTTAAAAAATGCGAAAATACAAATCATGATTTTTTGATCACGTAAATAGAGAATAACAATGCATAATATTTAAATCGCGTGAATGCGAATCCCAATGTCTAATTTTTAAAGCACGTATGAATACGAAAATCGATGTTTGATATTACAACCGCAAAAACGAATCACGACATTGGATTTTAAGCTAGTGTGAATACGAATAGCTACATAAGGTTTTAAAAGCACGTAAATATAAAACGCGATATTGGATTTTAAAATGTCGTAAATAAGAATCATAATGTACGATATTTAAATACCGTAAATTAGAATCACAATGCGCAACTTTTAAATCAAGTGAATACGAAAATCAACGATTGATAGTAAAATCGCGTGAAAAAGAATCGAGATATTTGCAAAATCTAGACTTGGGATTTCTAAAAGGCTTGTTGGTATTGTTTTTGTTCAGATATAATAAATAAAAATTTACAAGATTAATTGAATGAGCAAATATATATTTTCTCCGCAAATCTAATAATAATTTTTTTTTCGTTTGCTTTCACGCCAGAAAACAGGAAGCAGCAACGTCTGAAATGCAAAAATACGAGCTATCCAGCGGACGGATAAAAATACGGAAAATCTTATTTTCCGTAATTAAAAGTCGAGAAAATAACTAAAATCGGTAAAAATGCGGAAGGGTTAGCAGCTAGGACATAGTTTTAATTTTATGTTCATCTCTGAAAATCGTAAATAAATATAAATTCCTCATAAAATATTTTAACTTGTTCAAAAAAAATTATCCGAGGAAATTAGCGGAAAAAATGGAGAAATCTGAAAAAAAGTGGAAATCCACGAATCCGCGGAAGAATCACATCCCTGAAAATAGACTATTAAAAACACTTTACATTACATAAACAAAAAAAGTCAGTAATGTTATAAATTTATAGAAAAAAAATAAAAAGGTTGGGTCACCTTCTACAAATTAATTAACTCAAAAAATCAACTACAAATTTAAAATTTGTTATTTTAGTTTTCATGACTTCCTAAACAAATAAAAGATAACACTAACTTCAGAATGTAGCATTAACTTCAGGCATCAGTAGAAAATTTTAAACTTGAAGATAAAAATTTACACATAAATATATATACAGTTAAAATCAAGACTTAACAAAGTTAAATCAGGGATTTAAATAAATCTATTGTGCAATATAAAAAGTATTTGCTTCAACAATTGAAATATATATATAACTTTAAAAGTGATGAGATTTTTTTTTTAATGCTTAAGAATATAATAAATTAATTATTCCATTGAATATAAGTTTGTGCTTAGATTGAATCTAGTATCTGTTAGTAAACTGTTTTAATTATGATTATAAGAACAATATAAAAATAAAATATGCATCAGTATTTTTATAAAGGTCAGAGAATATGTCCACATTTTTAAATTATCAAGTATGTGATTTAAAATACAGTTATTATCATTAGTTTAACAATAACTTAATTTTGAATAATAATTTTACAACTTAATTTTGAATAATAATTTTACTTAAGTAGTACGATATACTAGACCAAGCATGCACAATCTAATTGTAAAAAATTATTATAATTAAAATTTTTAAATAATACATATCTGTAATAATTATTACTAAAAAATTTTATTTTATAATTTTACTTTATTTTCTAGCAAACATTAGATATTCATAGTAAATATATAAAAATTTCACTAATTGTAGTTATTGATCATTATTAACAAATTATTATATTATTAACAATATATTTCACGTTTTGGGAGTGGAAATTTAAGTATCCATCAAAAATGCATTCAAAAAAGTACTTTATATTTAGATTTTTTAAAATTATAATTCTGTATTTTGGCCGCTGAAGGCCCTCATAATATTCTCATAATTGTTTTGTTTATTGTTTTAAATATTAATAAATATATTTTTGCAGCTGTTTTACTTTGTTGATATAAATCAAAAGCAGTAATGCACATGACACAAGTTATTTACTAATATTGAAGCATTCAATTAATCACATTTCTTTTCAATCGTCTTTTTGATATTTTTATTATTTTGCATTTTCCAATGTGTAACAATTATGTTTTGAACATAATTAACAAATGATTATTCTTACTTTTCTCAGAGAATCTAACCTTTTTATACTCTTTAAAGGTAAACAATATAAACTCATTTATTATATTGAAATTAAAGCAAGATCATTGCACATACGGCTCATTCCATTAATCCTATCTTCTTTTTTCAATTAATAAATAATGTCTAAAATATCACACTAACATATCTTACACCTACTTAAATAAATGCGGCTTTGATAACTGTATTTGTAATGGGTTAAAGAAAAAACTTGGACATTTTTTTTAAACGAGACCATATGATATTTCTTTTAAAGACAAACTACAAATAAAAAAAAGAAGTACAATTATCTTTATTCAAGTTTAATAAATGCAAATTTCATAGGAAAAGAATAATTAATATCATTTTTAAATTCAAAATTACTTTGTTCAGGGGAAATTGTGAGCTCAACTAAAAAAATCCTGAAATTTTTTTGAGTCAAATCATTAATGGCACATTTCAAAAAATTAATGTCTTTATAAATTTAAATCAATGATATTTCTAAAACATGAAATTCTAAATAAATTAAATGCAGCATAATTTAAATGAATAATGTGTAAGTTTACTTTTATCTCTAATAACATTTATTATTCTATCAGAAAAAATATTAACAAATATTAATAAAATATACAAGAATTTTTATACATAAATGTGATCGATGATTTTTTGAAATTTCTGGACCTTGGATTTCCGGAAACTTCTGGATCACGGTTAGAGAAAAATCCGCAGATCTGGATTTTACCCGTAGAGCAATCATCTCTGTTTAAAACAGAAAATCATAACAGTTCCTAGTTCATTACAAAATAATTATTACGAATCTTCAAAAAAACACTTAGTAGGACATTTGGTAATTTAAAAAGAAGAAAAAAATTACTTACAGATCCAATTCATTTATATATGCACTGCCATTCAACTCATTCAATGTCTAAGAAATTAAATTACAAAATTAGATTCCAGAAAATTATAATATCTAACAGCAATTAAAACTATACACTAAAAAAATAAAAAGTAAAAAGGGCGTTAATAATCAGGTTAAGAAGGAATCATGTTCCCACTTAAAAACATAAATGCTAAAGAATTAGAATTTAGATGATAGATATAACTAGGTATTTCAGAAAAAAAATTTATAAAAGTTAAAAGAAATTTTTTTTAAATAATTTATTACAAGGACGATGAAGGAAATATCATTCATGAAAAGTTCTTCAAACTACAAGAATTTTGATGCATTCCAATTATTATAGCAATCATAATAATTATTATGATTGTGAGATGCATATGATTGCATCCAATATTACACGTGGACATATGCATCTAACAAAAATGGGACAGTTCAATCTTTTCAATTTATCTTGTGTTAAGAAATAATTAAATAGTAAACAAATTATTTAATCATATTAACTTACAATGCCATATTCTATTGGATCTGGTGACTGATTCTCAATAAACCTGTAAAAAAAATAAATAATATACATATATATAGATAGATATTACAAAAATACTTGCATAAATTTAATTTTTATAATTGCAATATAATTTTATATGATTGCAAAAATATTTACTTTTTACAATTGCAAAATAAATATATATATTTTTTTATAGCTGCTAAAACATGTGCAGTGGTTGCCTTATACTCCGGTGCAATTCGGTTGGTTGACAAATTAAGTTTTACGATTAAGATTATGAAGTTTTATAATTTTAGAGCAGTTAATAGATTGGACCTCTTAATGTTAATTTTACTTTTTACACAGTTCCTCATATCTTGAAAACTTTTGACTTGAATTGAAAAATTTTTGTACACAATTATAAAACTAGTTCATTCAAAAGACAATTCAGTGCAAAAAAATAGTTTTTAATAATAATCGAAAAATTTTAAATTGAAAGGTATATATAGCTTAAAATCATTTTAAAGGGGTGTAATTTTATATGGCAAAATACAAAATTTGAATGAAATCAGCCAATAATTCCGGAGTAATCAAATTTTAAAAAAGTCATTTTCAAAATTGGATTTCCACTGAACTATTGGACCGATTTCATTCAAATTTTGATTGTGCAATAAAAAATTACATTATTAAACAATTGTGGTTCCGTTTTCCTTCACGTAATATGGCCAGTATTAATGAGTAAACACTTATTTTGCTTTATACATGTAACCTGGAGATGTCTTTAAATTGAAAGAAGCACTGACATATGAATATGTAACTGGCATATGAATAAGATATAACAATATACTTTACTGTTTAACTGCAGTTTAAAAAAATGACATAATTAATCTTTTCCCTTTCAAATCCATGCCAGGTTTTAGAATTATATTATTTTCAACTTATGTAATAATTTCGACCATGCGTTGCCTAGATGCTCTAACCTGTAAAGTCGTAAACTGTATTCACTATAATTAAGATTATTTTATTAATAAATTCTGAAGTCAGTCTTAAAGCACTACACCTCATTTCGATTCGATTAATTTTCCTTTTACGATTAATAGTTATCTAATGGTAAGTGAAAATTCTATTTCTAACGTTGTTTTTACTATTCTATTTGTTAAAAAGTTATATTAATGAAAGTTATAATAATTGTTAATTAACTTAAATTTTACATAATTTTAAAATATAAGTCCAACAGTCTGTTTAATGGTTTTACAAAATAGATACCTCAAATGAAAACATTAAATAATTATTAACAATTATTATTTTTTACATAAAATTATTTCTGGATAAATGTATTTTATACTTGTGTGCAAAATTTTTTTTGAATTACTTAACATAGTTCTCAAAATATGCTGAACTGATCTGTTGAAAAAAGAAGGTATGTTTAATCAGAGAAAATACTCTCTTTTGTCTGGTAGCTGGAGTTATTTTAAGTATTGTAACAAGTTTAAGTAGTTCCCACAATACACTCTTTACTTTATTTAAGTTTCCTATATTCAATTATATAATTTAAAATACTTACGAAACAAATGTATTAGAAAATTCATCTTGTAAATTTGATGCAGGATTCATTTCCTTCGACTGCTGCCTTTCAGCCATTCCCTAAAAATAGATAAATAATTAATATCATTCTTTTTACACGTTAAAAAAATTTACTTACTTTGGTCTAACTGAAAATAAGGAAGAGTTAATCACTGCACAGTTATACAGTATAGAGATGCACACAATATTTAAAAAACATTGATTTTGTTTCAGCGAGAAACAACCAATTTTCTTTTTTTTTTTTTAAAGTGAAGATGAAAAGTGAAGTTGCCAATGTATATTATCTTATGTAAGCCAAGTCAATAATAAAATATTGATGGCATTTTAGATAAAAGTTATAACTTTAATCAATAAAAATATAAGAATATTTCAAGGTCTTGGACAGTATAATTAGCCACATTTTCAAAAGATAGTTTTTAAGAACATTTTGGATAAAAAAAAAACATCAATTTCCCAGAAGGTACAATGATGTTCTTGTAACAAGGTGTAAAGGAAATGAGATGTTAAATTAATCTCTTTTTCCGTATAATAATTTTCAAAAAGATCAGTGATAGAGAAGTTAGGAAAAAGTGATATGTTGAGTATTTTTGGAATTTGCAGTTTATTACAAGCCTTTATGAAAATCTTATTAAAACAAATTCTAATCAGACGATTTTTATCCTATTCCACATAATAGAGGTCAGTAAGAAAAAAAAACGCTACTGGACTTGAAAATTTGTGGAAGAAACTTTATTGTAGATAAAACATTTGTCAAGTAACTGAAAAATAATTCACTCAAGTAGATGAAAAAAGTTACTGTTTATGTAATAGCTGTTTGCCATTGCTAAACAACTGCCCATGTCTCATATTTACATTTATAAACTGTTCCGATGACAATAATTGTCACCAATATGTCTTTTGATAGGAATTATCTTGTCGCCAAACAGTATTATACTGCTTTATGAAAACTATTTTGAAAATTTTTAATACTTTTTTTTGTTGTCTTTAAAATGTTTATTGTGCTACTTATTAATCAATGATTTCCAGCATATATATTTTATCTATTTTTTTTTCTCTTTTTGAAAGAATTAAGCCTGTATATATACATAAACATTGAAAATGAAAAGAGATATTGATCTATGTTAAGCTCTTAAATTATCAAATTTAATTAAAGTAAGATTTTTAATAAATAATGTCACAAATATTTTCAAATAAACTTACAGATTTAGAAAATAACATAACAGAAATAAATAAGCACATGAATAAATTAACTTAATGAGAAAACACATTAAGTGCTTTTTCTTTTTATATGTGTTTCAAACAGCAACTAAATAAATAAAAACCAGTTCCTGCATAAATAACATACTTTCAGATTTCAAGATACCTACATTACTTATACAATAAGCTGAAAATTATTTTACGAGAAAAAGTCATGATTTTTTTTTCTTCCAATGAAAAGAAATTTCATGCTCTGAGTAATTCATAAAAATTTAAATTCATAACTAAATGATAATTAATTTCTGATTTATAATGAAACCTTATTTGTTGGCCCTTAGAAGGGCCTTTTTTTAAAAAAAAGTCACAGAAAAAAGAAGTTTGAACAGTACAAAGCGTAAAAAGTACCAAGACCGTGCAAAGTACACAACAAAAACTGAAGTACTTTAAAATTCTATGATTTTGTTGCTCAGTGACATGAAATGTACCCGTTTTTTGCTTTATACTCTGTTTGAAACAATGTGCAGTGAATTGAAGCAACCATAATGCAGTGTTTTTATATTTACCTATCACATCTTCGTGCCATCCAAATTGCATAACTCCAAACTGGTCTGTAACAGTGAGAGATTGCATTTAGTTCTGTGAAAGAGAAAATGTGAAATTGCCAAGATAACTAGTCCAGTTAAAGAGCTCAAACAAAATGGACTTTACTATTCCTTTAACTACAATTAAAACTTATTAAAGAAGCTAAAAATGTACTTGCATGTTATTACTTAGAAAAATTATTTATAAGCAAAGTATAATTATTATGTTAGAAAAATTACACAGGAAAAAATAATTTAACCAAGGTCCATATTAATTTATAATTAAATTTTTCAAGAAAAAAATTATTAACTTATATTTATTCAAATAATAAAAAGAAAACAAAACAAATGCATTAAAAACTAAAGCAAATATTTCTCCACTTTATAGTCTTTTTGCTTATTCAACTATTTTTTAAACTTCCTACAAAAAATTATTGATCATAAATTATCTATTAATGATTTTAGAACAATTTTGAGTTCAAAACAGACTTTTAACAATGTCATTAATATTAGTAGCTGAACACAACTTTGGCCCCCCTTATTGTCATTTCACCTAATAATTAAATTTTTTACTTTTACTTGAAGCCTCAAAATTCGACATTTTGTTCAAGAACATGTAACAAATATTGAATTTGGTTAAACAGAGCTGTAAGCTAGAAAACATCGCCTGATATTATCCTTTAAATAATTGGAAATAATATCTAATGCTAAACCTATGCAAAAAGTTTATTTTTTAAACTGCTCTCCTGAGCAGATTAAAAGAAATTTTTTAATGATTTTCAAGACCAGGGTTATAACAGCCCCTTGCAGCCCCAGTCAAAATTGAAAGTTGTTTGTACAAACAATTCTAGAGTTATAATTAAAAAGACACAACAAAATGGTGATACAATGAGAGAGAAACAAGTCCTCAAAACAATGAACAATTTTAACTACAATTTGAAAGACAAAGAAACTGCTCATTTGTACATGAATTTCCACTGCAATTTGTTGTAAAAATAATAAGAGTGACTTTCTCTATTTTAAGATTCTTTTAAAGATACTCAGTATCTAAGGAATACCCTAAAAATTTTATTGCAGATAAAAATAAAACAATTGAATAAAAGAAATTAACATCAAAATTAGAAATAAAGAAATAAATTTGAACCCTATGAATGATTCTGCATAACTAAAAATTAATCGAATGATAATGCAAGATTTTTTTAAAAGATTTGCCTGAAGTTGCTTAGTAATTAAGGTTTAACCTAAAAATTTTGAAGCTATAGCAAAAATGCAGAAATTTAGTAAAAGAAATAGTAATTAATATCATAATAAATTGTAAATTATGAATAATTTTGTAAAACTAAAAGTTTTAAATATTGTATAAAGAATTGTATTTTCTAAAATATTTAATCTGTCATTAAACAGTAAAATATAATTCCCAATTACAATAAATATAAAAATTATAAATAAAAGTTTAATACTCTAAAGAAATTATGAGAAGCAACGCATGCAAATTAAATAATTTTGTTTTAACAAAATTAAAAAAACTATTTCAAAAGGTCATTTAAAATATAAATAAAATAAACCTAATGGTCAATTTGAAAATAGGACATTAAATGCATTTTTAATAAATAATTGAAATAATAACTTGCAAGTACCAATTACAGAATTTTTTAACTTTATGTATTGTAACATAAAATCCAAAAAAAATTAAATAAATACTTTACTTTTTACCATGTTTATATATGTATCTGATGGTTGCTTTAATAAACTGAGGCAACTGACACAACCATTAAGATTATTCTTTCTTATATGATTAAAAGTCTCTTAAGAAGCAATTCCTCATTTCTCAAAGCTAGGCATATCATAGCTCAACAGTTTTAAATGCAATATCTTCATAATTTCTTTGATTTTCTTCCTTTTATCTTATAGTAAATGCTACAAGATGGCTGAGAAGAAATTCAATAACTTCTTGTCTTTCATTTCCTTAATTTAATTCTTGATTTGTAATTGTTTAGTTCAACGAAAAAGAATATCCAAAGCAAATAGAAAACTATTTCGAAAGGAGAAAGTAAAGCAATAGTTGATGGTTTAATTTTTCTTCTTCTTTATTCAGCAGTGAAAAGCTCTGATTTTCCAAATGACTTCCCTTCCTTTAAAAATATACTATGTTAAATGCCTCGAAAATAAATCCTCAAATGTAAATAACATTTGACGAGCATAACTGGTTAAAATATTATTCTTTATAAAGATTTGTTGATTTTCCCATTTAATAATTAAGACTATTTAACTTAGTTACTGCATTTCAAACAATAAAAAAATAATGACATCAGATATTTGAAATGGCATTGATAATTTAATGAGTTCATTTATCTTGTTTTTCAAATAAGAAATAATTTAGAAGATACTGGATAATGAGTCATTTGATGAACTGCTTAGTTGATCATTTAGAGATTTAATTGCTCATGAGTATAAATTTAGTAGAAAATACAGAAACTATGCATAACATAGCATACTATTTTGCAGATAGTCTAAATATACATATTGAGAGGCATAAATTATACATATATCAAAATGCAATGTTTTATATTTATAGACAAATGCATCAATTTTTAAAATACTTGGAATATAGTGCGTATTCTGTTCCTTAAAACTTTTTACTTAACAATTGAAACATTTAAATCAGCCAGTTTTTGCTTTTTCAGTTTATCTACTTGTTTTATGATTTTATTCGATTTTTATTAATCAGCAATGGGAAGCTTTGAAATTGAAAAACAAATTTTACTATAGAAGAACAAAATTCGAATCACATTAGGAAAATTCTACACTTGAAAACTGCCTCTATCCATTTCTGGATTTTTATAACTTGTTAGAACTGCTGTGATATATTTTTTCCAATTGATTATTTAGTTGATTAAAATAAAACAACCACCAGCATGTTACTTCTCATAGCAAAAATAGCTATCATAACATTTGTAGAAGCAAGCAAGCAAACTGTAGTGCTCTATTACTTTTGCTAAAAACAATCTGATAACAAAAGACAATAAAAAAGAATCTATATAAAAAATTTATATTTTCTTTTTCAAACTTTTTTCAAAAATCTTCCCATACAAAATATCAAATTCTTCGTTTTTAGATTTTCTTGAACAAATGGAACTTGTTTTATAGTTCTTATGCAGTAAAAAATAACTCCAGTAAATTGTCAAAATCTGTAAATTGTAAAATGACATATCTTGATTTCTGCATTACTTTTATGTTTATATCTTTGTAATGAATCAATGGACATCAATAACAAGTTTTTCTTTCTTTGTCAAGCATGCATTTATAAATAATTCTAATTATAAAATGATTTTTACTGCACATTCTATACTCCTTTATTTTATTTATATGCTTTACTATCTTTCTTTTCCATTTATACTTCTTATCTTTTTAGTTACATATTTTATATACATTTCACTATCTTTGATCTAGTTACTAAGAAGTAATGTTTCATATTTTACTTAAATTAGATCCACTTATTCAAATGAAAATATTTGCTAAACCAGTATTAACTTTATTTAGACAGAGGCTTATCTTTTCCTAATCTTCAACTTCTTTCAGAGAAGACAATTTAATAACAGAAATAAAAACTTTTTTTCACTTTATATTTGATGGATTTGATATTTTAAAAGTATTAAACAAATCAAATAGTGCTGTAGCATGTTTATATCACTATATGCCTGAAGTGAAACATATTTTTTAGTAATAAGAATAGTAAAATTTCTTATAGACAAGCTGTAGAAAATAATCAGCATTGCTTCAATCTTTTCAAAACCTTAATATTTCTAGAATCGTATTCATTCATATCATTCAATCGTATCATTTTATTCTTCAAATTGATGTAAGAAAACAAAATAGTTAAAGTAGTGTTAATTGAAAGAGATTAGCTGTAAAAAAACTGAATAAATCATAAATATTAACATTCCTAAATAAATGTATCGATAAATAACATACCTAAAATATACACAGATAAATATATAGACCATTTTTATTTTTAACTGTAAATTACAACAGCTTCTATTTACGTATATAAAAAAAGCATTTTTTTTAAAAAAAGAATCAATATGGGAAAAGATTCGCCAAAATAATTTAGATATATGAATGTTGGATGATACATAAAAATCTAAATCTAGACGAAAATGTTAAGTTATATTAAAACTATATTCAAAGAATAATATTATACAGAAAATTGATAAAATTAGCAAGCATATTAATTAACTTAAATAAAAAGAAAGTAATAAATAAGAAAAAATAGAAAAGTAATAAATAATAAAAAAATAAATAATAAAAAAATTATAAATTTGCGTAAAATATAGAGCATTTAAATATTTCAAAATAATATATGCAGAAAAAATGTAACTCAAAATGAAGGCTGATTATAAGATAAATGATTGGTTCAATGATCAAATTAATTTACTTTTTAAAAATGTTAAAAAATATAAATAATCAATTTTCAATTATATTTTGTTTAATTTGCCAAATATTTTCGTACTTATTTACTTCAATTTTGCACTGCTTTATTTCATCAGTTTAGACAATTTTTTGAAAGGAATAGAAATTAAAATATTAGTTTTTAAAAGAAAAAATTTATTAAATTACTTCATAAATGAATTTTTTTTAATTTGCCAAATAGTTTCTTATTTATTTACTTATAATCATTCAACAAACCCACTTTTGAAAGAAGAAAAAGTTCATTTTGTCTCTGATAAAACCCACCACTATGAGACGAAATCAAATTTTTTTTTCAACGAAAAAAAAAAGCTACATTTCTGTACTGCTTTATTTCATCAGTTTAGAGAAATTTTTTGAAAGGAATTTAGATAAAATAATAGTTTTTCAAAGAAAACAAACACATTAATTAAATTACTTCATAAATAAAATGTTTAAAAATTTTGTTACACCAAAGTGAATGAAAAGAATTAAATTTACAGAGGAAATAAGATCAAAAAGGAATTAAGAAATTATCATCTACAGAAATTTCAACCTACTTTGAAATCAGCCTTGAATTTTGTAAAGTAGAAGAAAATTACCAATTAAAGTTCATTCAAAAACAGTTTTAATTAAAAAAAACATCAAAAGCTTAAAATACGTAAAAATTTTAAGAATATAACGACTTACTTATGTCATACTCCAAACTAAACAACCTGGTTATTCTTTTCATTTATAAAATAGTCTTGCAATTGGACAAAAAACATTTGAAAAGAGAATAGATATATTTATAACTACTAATTTACCTAAAAACATTAACAGGAATAAAACAGTGAAACTGAGGTGACGAAAACCTGAAACATGAATGAAAAAAATAAAATCCATCAAAGTATCAATAAGTACTTTGCATTAAGTATCAGCAAATTAATACAAAGCATCAATTTTAATGAAAATTTATGCAAGAGAAAATTTAAGCAACAATAAGACAATGCTAATTTATGAAACCCAGTTGCAAGTTGCAGAAGTAAAAAATAAAACTAATGGAGTGTTATAATTTTTTTTTTCATACTCCAAACATTATGGCTGATATTTCAATCAAATCAAATTTTATACCAAGAGTTCTCTTTAGCATTAAATATCTTAATGTAAGATAAAATTCTCACAGAACCTAGAAAATTTTCAAAATATAAATATTTATTCAAATTTCCAGCTTGAACAGCTTATTACTTACTAAAAGAATGTTCAAAATTAGACTTAAACTGTTAAAAGAATTCAAGCAAATATTAAAAATGAAACACGGTATTGTTTATCAAAACCAGTCAGACCGACCGAAAATCTTTCTAAAACACTGTCACTAACAAAATGGCCATCTTTAATCAAATAAATTTAAACCAGAAACCAAAAAATAACAAAATATAGCAAAGTATTCAACCTTTGGGCCTAACAAATTATTTTAGAATTACTATAATAATTTTTTTTTAACATAACAAGAACTCAAATTGCTAACAAAAACATAAATGGAACAAAATGAGCACATATTTCAACCTGATTTTTTTTTAAAAAAAACAACTCTAAAAAATAAAAAATTGCTTGAAAGAAATCAAGGGACCAATAAATAGTACATTGTTGCACAAAATTACAATTAACAATGCAGCAGCAAATGTATAAAATGAGACAATGAAAAATAAATCCAGTTTTGTCTTGTAGGCTTATAAATTCATTTGTTAAAAATCAAACTTCAATTCCTTTCATAAGTTAAAAGCAACAGATATCCAAAGTGATGAAATGCTAAATGGCTTAAGGATATTGAAAATTAAAGCAGTAAACTCCAAATGATTTACTAATCTAGACAACAAAAAACCTAAAATTTAATTAGCAATATACCTGATAAAAAAAAGTCACTATTTAATTTTGTGTATTTGAAAACTATACTTAAAAATACACATTTTTTTAAAAATCTCCAAGTTAACAGTAAAATTTTTACACTATAAAATATTTTGTTAGTATGTAAAGCAGTTTGTAAACTAGAGAGCAAATAAATCAGAGTTTACTGCTATACAAACCTTATAATATGAAGATCCAGGACTTCTAATTTAACACTTAAAATAATAACTTAAAAATTAATTCTCTAAATATAAAATAATAATGAATTTTCCTGAGCTAAACTGCTATATTTAGAAATAAAACTAACATTTCAATGTTAGAGCTCTATGCCAATATTAAAGCTCTATGTCAGTGAACACTATTAGAAATATCCAAAAATAAACAAGTACAAGAAATGATTGTGTAAAGAAAAAATATGTTTTTCTAGAATTATAATTTTATATTAAATATCAAAATAAACTTCTCTTTATAACTCACTTTACTGCCTACTGCAGCATATACACCAACGGCCACTAAAATTTCATAGTAATTACAAAAGATTTTAACCACTGGTTATCTTAGTATTTAAATATCACTTTATGTTGTAATAATATCTTAAGGAAGATTTTGGTATCTCCGTATAAATAAGTTTCGGTGACTTTCGAGCAGTAATCTCCGAGTGGTTAAAAAAAAATTCCACGAAAGCATTCAGAAGGGTATAATTTGTAATCACCCCCAGAAAAATCTTTACATTTCTTTTTTTATTTTACAAGTGAAAAATCTCTTTTGGCACCTGGGAGATTGTAGTTGGCATAAATAGAAACTGATATGAAAATATTTCAATACCTTTTTTTTAATTTACTAAATTTACCTTAAAACAATTTAATCAGTACTAAATGTAAATAACTCAAATTATATAAAAGGCTAAATAATCAGATAATTCTGACACTAGACTAGAAATTTTTTTTTAAATATCTGCCTTATTTTATGACCAGTGGACAAAAATATCTTTCAAAAATCATATATATTGATGAGTATACAATAGCCTCTTTGTAAATATATATAAATTTAATGAGAAATTTTCTTTTTAATTTCTGTTTTATTTTATGACCAGTGGACAAAAATATCTTTCAAAAATCATATATATTGTTGGGTATACAATAGCCTCTTTGTAAATATATATATAAATTAAATGAGAAATTTTTTTTCTAATTTCTGTTTTATTTTATGACTAGTGGAGAAAAATATCCTTCAAAAATCACATATATTGATGGGTATACAATAGCCTCGTTGTAAATATATATATATTAAATGAGAAATTTTTTTTTTTTTTAATTATTTTTTTTTTTAAATTTCTGTTTTATTTTTTATGACCAGTGGAAAAAAATATCTTTCAAAAATCATATATATTGATGGGTATACAATACCCTCTTTGTAAATATATAAAAATTAAATGAGAACTTTTCTTTTTAATTTCTGTTTTATTTTATGACCAGTGAACAAAAATCTCTTTCAAAAATCATATATATTGATGGGTATACAATAGCCTCTTTGTAAATATATAAAAAATTAAATGAGAAATTTTCTTTTCAATTTCTGTTTTATTTTATGACTAGTGGACAAAAATCTCTTTCAAAAATCATATATATTGAAGGGTATACAATAGCCTCTTTGTAAATATATAAAAATTAAATGAGAAATTTTCTTTTTAATTTCTGCTTTATTTTATGACCAGTGGACAAAAATCTCTTTCAAAAATCATATATATTGATGGGTATATAATAGCCTCTTTGTAAATATATATGAAATAAAATTATATGCTTAATTACTTTTTATCAGCATTGAGCAAATGAGAATCTGAAAAAAATTTGATAGAAATATTCTAATAAAACTACTCTAAATACAAAGAAAGCTGTGCTTCAGCTTTAAAGCTTATGAGATAAACATTTTGACCTACTAATCTACAAACAAACCTACTACTTTAGAAATGCCAAGAAAATTATCTCCATAAAGTAATTAACTCCTACTAATCCATTGCAAAACTTGTAGATCACCCAGTTATAATACTCATAACTCGAAACAGCTATTCCTCCAACAACATTTCATACCAACAACCAATGCCATTCATTGCTAACGTAAATGTCCATGTCAACTATCTCTGAAAGAAAAATCTATAAAAAAAAAATTTCTCATGAATATTCGCAATTTTAAAAATGAGATATTGGTTTGGTAGTAAGTAAAATTATGCCTTACTTACTTTTAGCTTTAATGATAAATTTCAAGTTAATTTGAGTCATTAAAACAAAATATTTATTTAAATCTAATGAAAAATCTTAATTCATTGATTTCTTAAATTCTTATAAAGTTATAATCTCGATTAAGTTAAAATTTTAAAGTAAAGGGCTGTTCAAATATAATATAAGCATCAAAGGTTACCTGATATTACCTAATTGATGTACATAACCTGATTGATGCACATAACCTTTATTACCTGATTGATGTACATAGCCTTTCTTCTTTAAAATTTTATTTTACTTGTGTCATACTTATTTTATTTAAATAATTTTCTTTTTTTTTACATATTTATAAGTTAATCAAACGTTTAACTAGTTTTGTTAAGCTTTAGATCTTCAATTATCTGAGCTTTGGTCAAATTAGCGAGTGAAAGAAGGAGAGAACAAAAATTTCATTAATTCAATTTCAAATTTTTATAAAATCTTTTTTTAATATTTATATACAGTGAATTCGCGATAACTCGAATCTGATAGGACTGACGAAAAACTTTGACATATCGGAAGTTCGACTTACCGTTAGTTTCGGTTTTGGACTTTCAAAATATTGTCGGATTATTTAATTAATGCTTATTAATTACAAATCTTCTAAATGCTTACAATATTTAAGATCATTTTTCTGACAAGCCATTTACGATAAGACTGTTTGAAGCACTT